CGGGGACACGCCGCCGGGGACACGCCGCCGAGAACACGCCCGCGTGGACGCCTCCCCCGAGGGCACGCCCATCTCCGACGATGATGAGATGACGTTCGAGACTCCCCGCGGCCGTTCTATCGAAGCCGCCCATGTCGGTACCGCTCACGCCCCCGCACCCGTCCCCGCCCCCTCCCACGGTGCTGTTCGAGTCGACAGCCAGGGCTACTACTTGCCCAGCCAGACCGAGTACAGCAGCAAGTATTTGCTGGGCCCGGAGGACTTCAAGGAAGTCGGCGGCACAGCCAACGAGCCCGCCACCATCGGCCTGGTCGTCCTCATCCTCAAGAACGACTGGAATCACAAGGTCGGTAAGGCGAAGTTCAAGATCGTCCACATCGACAGCGGCGACGGCAAGAAGAGCGCGCGCGACGGCAAGAAGACCCACTTGTACGTCGACAACGACAGCGACTTGTATCGCATCAAGTTCCAAGGCAGCACCTGGGATCGCGGTGCCATTGCTCGTCTGCACGATGTCAGCTTCGAGCTCAAGTCTGGTCGACCGATCGTGCGCTTCCATCACGACTCGCACATCAAGCTTGTCCCCTCCATCGTCACCTGGAACGATGTCCTGGCTTGGCACAGCAAGATGGATCGCAGATTCTGGACTCGCCATGTTCGCGCTGCGTCCGAAGAGACATTTGGTCGCTTTAGGAGAGTCTTCTCAACTTTGCAATCGAAACATTCGTGATGAAGCGGTAGGCCGCCTTGATCGTGAAAAAGTTGTTGATCGCCGTCGCAATGTTGCGGCGCGACTCGTCGTTGACGAGCGACTCTCGGAAACGGTGAATGACAAAGGTTGCCAGCATCTTCCAGAACTGTCGGTCCTTGGAGACGTCGTGGCGCGGCGGGCTCGACGGTATATCAGCGGCGGTGATGCAGGTGTTGCCCAGCACCTCGGGGATGTACACCTTCTCGCAGAAGGAGCGGATGAACTGGTCGGCCGCTGCACGGCGGACGAGCGTGGATGCGCGGTCCTGCGCGATGATCTCAGCGGCGTCCCAGGGCTTGCGCTGGGTGATCGCAGTGATCGTGCCGACGAAGCGCTCCCTCTTTCGATAGGTGCCGGAGTCCATGGTGGCAAAGGTGCTGTCGTGCTGTTCGTGCTGCTGCGTGCTGCTGGCTACGCCGACTGGGTTAATAGTATGGTAGCATGGTCGCGGTGATGATGTGCCGGCGGCCGTGCCGGAAACGATGGTGAGATCGAAAGGAGGCCGGTCGAAACGTGCGGAAGACTGATCGAAGCGGGTGAGCTCGAGTGCGGAGGTCGCTGCCAGCAAGCGGAGCCTCAGTGCTGTTCGGCTGAACAGCCAGGGCCACTACTTGCTCGGCCCGAGAGAGTACAGCAGCCAGTACTTCATCGGCCCGGAGGACTTCAAGGAGGTAGGCTGCGCAGCTAACGAGCCAGCCACCATCCAGCCTGAACAATGACTGAAATCACAAGATCGGCAAGTCGAAGTCCAAAATTGTCCACATCGACGTTGGCGACGGCAAAACGCACATGTACGTCGACAACGACAGCGACCTTTACCGTGCCAAGAGCTGGGGCAGCAATTCGAACTGTGGTGCCTTCACTCGGCACAACGTGCATCGCGAGGTTCAAGCTGGGCGACCGATCGTTCGCTCCCTTCATGTGTCTGAAGTTTTCTTCGAGCCCGTGGATACTGTGTGTTGGCTGGAGGCTGGCGAAGAAGCTATGTCAAGCTAGGCAGAACGAAGCGATGCGGCCGAACCGATTCAAGGACAGGGAGTGTCGCGAATATGAATCATGATGGACTGCCAACAAGCAGTGCGGGGCGAGTGCGAGATGGACTACGTGAATGAGACCGAGACATGCGTGTGGGCTGGAGGCACGGGCCTCGAGTGCCCTGAATAAGGTTGGACAGGAACCAGCACAATGGCACTGGGACCGTGCGGTGTTACAAACAATGAAGACGTGCACAAACACTGCATGTATGCATGAAGTGTGGGGTTCGGAATCCAGAGGATCGGGTCGTTCATGCCGAAGCCGACACCATGCCCCACGCTCATTGCGAGGTGATGCGAATGGTGGGACGACAGATCGTCAGCTTCCATCACCAGTCCTCCTAGATCCCACCAGTGCCAGTAAAGTTACTGCTGTATACCTCTCGCGTGTGTTCTGCATGACGAGCCATGTGCATTCTGACCGTATCGAACGGGACCCCTTTATCACTATCATACAAGAGTGTGTGCGTGTGTGCAGTGGCACTAGTACCTGAGTCTGAAGTGGGGGTGGTCTGATCCGAGCATCTGGATCTCGTCCTCGGACAGACCCTCGAGCTTCCAGTCCCTCTTGCCCGCCTCTCGCTGTTTGTTCTCCCACCTCTGCCACGAGACGAGGCAGACGGCGATGATGATCATGACGATGGCGCCGGCGAGGTTGAGCGCATTGCCCGGGACGTAGTTGGGTGCGTACTTGCTGAGGTAGCTCCAAGTTGAAATCAGGCCTCCGATGTTGCCAAAGAAGACGGTGACTGCAATGGCGCCCGTACGTTCGCTGTCGTTGTTCGTGTTGACCGCCGCGTATGCTGGAAGGAGTGCACCCATGGTGAATGCGCCCGAGGTGGCGAAGAACGAAGCAGCATAGCGCACGTACAGATTCTTGCTTCCGAGGAACATTGAATATCCGATAATCATCAAAACCGTGCCGCTGACAACAAATACCGAGCGGATGCGGAACTTGGCCGATGCATATGCAAATGCCAGTGTCGCAATCGCTCCCGCCACATTCGGCGGCACCGTAAGCAGCTGCTGGTCGATCACATCGTACTTGGGAGCAGGGAAGATGCCGCGCACCACAGAAGGGAGAAAGACAGCAGTACCTTGCACTGAGATGTTATCGAAGAGGAACATCATGGCGCAGGCGAGCGAGGTGGTGTTGGTGATGCCCTTCCAGATGAGCTTCTTGTGCGTCTTGTCCACCAGCTGCTTCTGTCCAACGAGCTCCGACTTGAGCCTAGCCTGCAGGAAGCGCTTCTCGTCCTCGGTAAGCCAGCGCGCAGTGTGGATCGAGTCGGTCAAGGTAAAGTATCCGACGATGGCGACCACGATGGTGATGAGGCCCTCTGCAAAAGTACAAAAATGTTAGATCAAAAAATAAGGTTACATGCGGGGTTAGTTTCATCTTGCACTGCGACGTCACGACTTCATATGAGTGCATGGTGGGACGTCAAGTGGGCGGAAATTGGGTGCGGAACGAGGGCAAGGTGCGGAAGCGGGGAAAAGGGTACGTACCAACAAGGAAGATCATCTCCCAGGACCTGACCGAGCCGATATGGGGGATCTTGAGGATAGCCGACGCCAGCAGACCACCAAAAGCGCCTGCCGAAGGGGCGGTAACGAGGTAGAGACCGAGCCTAAAGACAAGCTCATCCTTCTTATACCATCTACTGAGGTAGTATGCGATGGAGGGAAGCATACCAGCTTCCGCTACGCCCAAAAGGAAGCGGACAGCGACGGCGCTTGCAAAGTTGGTGACGAAAGCGTTGGCCAAGGACAGCAGGCCGAAGAGGAAGGCCATCATGGGGATCCATCTGCCGGGGCCGAGGATCTTGGTGAGCGTGGTGGAGGGGATCTCGAAGGCGGCGTAGGCGGCGTAGAAGGCGGTGAGGAGGATGTTGAAGTCGTACGACTTTGGGTTCATGCCCAGATCCTTCTCCAGACCGGCGATACGGGCATTGCCCACATTGGCACGGTCGATAAAGCCTGTTGCACCACATCAGCTCAAGAGGTCAGCTCGGAACGGAGATGTCGAGACGCAGAAGGGAAGGATGGGGGATCGACGTACACATGAGGTAGAGCATGGCGACGGTGGGTACGATCATGAGGTCGACCTTGCGGACGAGACGCTTTTCGGTGGCAGCATCGTAGACGATGAGGCTGGGCTCGGACTTGGGCGTGCCGCTGGCATACAGCTGCGCAACGTCGCCCGAGCCCTGCTTGAACTCGGCGTTCTTTTCGTCCTCGGACGAGGCGCGTTCGATGTCGCGCTGCATCACGTCGACGACTGCCGACGGCGAGGTGGTGCTCGTCATGTGGTTCGCTGCAATCCTAAATGTCCAGGTAGGATGTAATCACTAATCCTTTTGTCAGAGGAGTGGAGGCACTGCCTTGAGCGAAGGAAATGGGGTGGAAGAGGGGAGAGGGGAGGTCGATGAGGACGAGGAGACGAGGGAGAGGGGTGGTCGGATGGATTCGACGAGAGCTCCAACTATATGTGAATTGCGCACCCGAGCCAAATGAAACCCGAACGCAAGATGGATGCAACGAGCTCGCTTATCGTCGTGTGAGGCCGTGAGGCAGTGAGGCTGTGGACGACTCGGATCTGACGGAAAGATTATCAACGGGAACGAAGCCGTTGGCCAAAGCCGGTTCTGAAATGCGGTGGCTTGCCGGTGTGTTGAAGCGGGGGGGCTGGGATGACTCGCACGGCGTTGTGGGGTAAAATGCGGGGGGCAAAAGCATGTGGTGGCTGGACGGGTAAACTGTCTTGTGGGAGAAGTCGGTCTATGGGGCGTTGATGAAGTCGGTGGTTCGGGAACGAAAGGTAGCCAGGTGGCGGAAAAGGCGGAGGACAAGGAGCATCGGAGCACCAAAACCGGGCAGGAACCACCAACTCGGGCGCTCGCTCAGGCGGGTAGCTCGAGGCGGACCAGAAGACACGGGACCGGACCATGTCCTACCTCTTCTTCCTCAAGAAGCAGGTGCAACCCCCGGCCATCGACGGTCAATTTGCTTCGGAACCGCAGAGCATGTGTTTACTGAATCTTGGCGATCTGCCCATTGTACGAGAGGCCTCGTGCTTTGTAAGTGACGGGCGCTCGTGGCTCGAAGCGAGGTTCAAACCGCCACGAGGACAGTCTGGCCGACACTCAACGTTCGCCTGTTGTGCAAGGTGCGAAATGCCAAGAACTTTTGCATGCAGGTCGCGCTGCATTCGCTGTGGGCGGATGGTCGGAGACTGAACTGCTCAAGAAAGCCGAGGTGTTCGTCCGCGAAAGTGCGCGGCCGCGCTCACCATCCGCACAAAACGACAGCTGAAAGACGGCAGGCACGATCTCACACCTTGCGCTGCCGCCCGTTCCTGACTCGTCCCGCCCATCATACGGCCATCACGGCAACACGAGTACAGCACCCGTACGTACCAAACCCCCGCACCTCAGTGGACGTGTTGCATGCTTTGGTTTTGCCGCCCAAACAAGACACCCTGCATCGCTTTCCCCGCACTCTCGAATTACATCCGCGTCTTCCTGCCCGCCCCGGTCCAGTTCCCGACATCCATGCCCATCCACGTGGTGCTGCCTCGTTCTCATCGGTCTGGACCCTCAATCCCCACATCCACAATGCTCACTTTGCACCAGCAAAGACACATTGACGATGGGCTCGTATTCGTGCGGCAGTCGTGCATGATCGACGCTTCATATGTTCCTGCATCTCGCGCAGAGTAAACCACGATCTCGAGCTCGTTGATAGCACGCGCTCGCACGCTTCCGTTACTCTGCCGCCACCTCGTCCTGCGCGTCCTTGTAGTTGGACTGCAACGACACGACGCTGCTCGACGCCAGCTTGGCCACATCCTTGCCCGACGCCGTCGAGTCGAGAGAAAAGTTGCGCACCACCGTCTCGTCCGCCTCGCCATTCGTCAAGCCCGAGCCGGACGATGTGACGGATTCACGCACCACCCGCTCGGCTGCCTTGCTGTCGCGACGTGGCTCTGGGTCGTCATCGCCACCGAGCAGCCATGCGACCACCAATCCTTGTTCCGCCTGCTCGAGCGACGTGATCGCACATCCGCTTCCAGTCTGTCCAAGCGCGGCACCGCCCACTTCCTTGCTGCTTGTCTTCTCTCCGCTCGTCACGGCGGGAGCAACGTTGCTCTGGTCTGCTGACGGCGCAACGGCACCCGCAGCGCTGTCGCTTGCTTGACCTTTGCGGTCGCCATCGGCTTCCTGTCCACCAGAAGCGGCGCTCATGCCAGATGCCGAGGGAGACAGCGGCGTGCCGTCCGAGTGCATCGCCTTTTGCACCAGCGCTCGGCACTCGTCGACGCTGTGGCAGTTGCGCATCGCCCTCTCCAGCTCCGCCAGCAGCTGGATCGTCTCGAGATGCGCGCTCGGCCGACGCGCCTGATTCGCTGTGGATGGCCGCGCGCCAAACGAGCTCCTTCTCGTGCGCGTCAGCGACGAGGCAGGCGCTATGCTACCAGACCACGCGCTCGGCGCATTGGCGGATCGAACAGCCGAGCTAGCCGAGGCTGCCGCACCCCGCTCGTCGGCAGCCGAAGCAATGGGCGTCGTCGGCACCGTCGCTCCACCTGCACCGTGACCGTTGTCGGACAACGCTGCGCTCGACGCCCCACGAACGGGCAGCACGCCGTGGCCATTGGAGCTTTGGTAGCCAATGCTTCTGCGTCGGTCGGACAGGGGAGTGCCGCTGCGCTCAATCAACTGCCCTGCGTTCGTCGAGTTGCGCTTGTAGCCCCACGGCACCTTGCGACTCACGAGCTCTTCCGTCACCTTGGACTTGGATGTAGCAGAGGCATCATCAGCGATCGTGTCGTCGTGAATGGTGCCCTCGGCTATGCTCGGCGTCTGGCTAGCGTGACTCGTGGAGCGAGAGCCGTGGCTGACTGAGCGAGTCGCCGCCATGATACCGGCCGTGCCAGCCGCCGCCGCAGCGGCAGCAGCGGCAGCCGTCGTTCCGATGCCCAGTCCATTGGTCCCGTTCAGCGCGTCGGTGTCGGGCTCGACCACCGTGACATCCGGAGTCGTCTTGGAATCGGGTGCTGCGTCTGCGCTGGCTGTCGGGTGTTCGGACGTCGAGGTCGACGAACGCGATGCTGCCGATCGGTTGAAAGGCGCCTCGGTGGGCGAGAATAGCGATCTGGACTGCTCCATCGAATTGTTGGTGCTGCTGGTGACGTACGTGTCTTGCGAGCCTTCGAGGCTCGGCTTGGTGTCGCCACGTGCCATGGAGCGTTGGGTCTTCTGCTGTGGCGAAGCGGGCGTGCCATGCCCCGAGCTGCTGGTCGACTTTCGTCCAAACAGCGTGCGGACGCGGTCGCCCATCGCCGATTTTTTGCTCGATCCATCGTTGAGCGAAGCCGTGTCCGATCCAAAGCTGCCGAATCGCTCCGACGTCGCCGAAGGCGGTGTGGATCTGAAGAGGTCCACAAGGTCCTTGGCGTTCGAGGATGCGCGCTCTGCCTCGTCATCGCGAGGCTGAAGGCGCAAGCCGCTACGGCGCGGTGCCGCTGCAGAAATCTGAGCCGGCAGACCGGCGTCCTCCTCCAATACGTCGCGTGACAGCAGATTCGTCTTGCCAAGGAACGCAGGAGATGGGCTGCGGTAGGACGAGGGCGGAGGAGCAGCCCTGCGCTCTGGACGCACTGCTGTCTGCAGCGAAGCGCGGGAGCTCGGGCGCGGGAAGGTTGTCTCGGGGAGGACGCCGGCTGCGCCATTAACGGCGCCCGACTGAGCATCGGACATTTGCGAGCTGAGCGTTGCAGAAGGGCTGGGTGCCTGGCCGAATGTGCCAGCTGCCGGGGCGGCTTCATCACGTAGACCGGCTGTGCCAGGGCGCCGACGCACAGATCCGAGATTGGCATCATCGCCCTTCATGGCGACCTCGATGGTGTGAAGCCGATTGGGAGTGAGCGACACCTTCATGGTCTGGTTAGAAAGCATGAGCGCTTCAAAGTCGTCGTCCGGATCGAGCGCCGAGCCGGACTGGCTGGCCTGCAAGGAGGCGGCGTCGGGCTGGAGAAAGGGACGACCTGCTGTTCCGTTGGGATCCGATCCTTGTTTGAAGCTGCCGCGTCGCTTCATGCTTCCAAACATGCCGGACCAGCTGCGATCCGAGCTTTGTCGCCGCCCGATGCTGCCTGTGCTGGCCTCGGAGCGAGAAGTGGTGCCAGAGGCATTGCGTGCAGGGGATGAGCGGGAATTCGATTGCGCCGAAGCACCACCTGTGGACGAGACGAGAGACGAGCTTTCGGGGGCGTTGTGGTTGGCAATGGAAGAGGAGGTGCGCAGCGTGGATGTGCTGGCACGCAGAGACGAGCTGTCCGCGTGTCCGAGGCTGCTGGAAGCGGCATGGCCGTGCCTGGATGACGAGGCGGTGGATAAGGGCTGCTGCACAGAGGCGCGCTTGGCCGAGAAAAGAGTGGGGCCGGCAGCTTCGTCAAAGTCGCCCTCGGTGGGGACGTGCCAGGGTTTGACGACGCGTGCGTCGGAGCGGACGCCGGACCTGGCGCCATCTTCGGTGCGTTTGCGCCTGCGCGCCTCGAGGATGTCGATGCGGCGTGCGAGCTCCTGCTTGATGGCCATCTTGTTGTAGAGCGGGTTGAGCTGCTCGTCCTCGATGATTGCTGCGCGGAGGTCGTAGAGGCTGGCTTCGTCCGAGTTGTCGCGCTCGATGACTCGGGAGACGTTCTGGAGGACGTGCTGGCCGATGTACTCGAGGAGCGCGGTGACGTAGATGGCGACGCCTTGGGTGACGGTGGCGATGGGGCGGCCGTCTGTGCTCATAATGTTCTGATCCTTGGCGAGGCCATCGTCGTCGCAGTCGCCAAGCGTCGAGTAGAACTGACAACGCAGTCGGAGCGCTTTGAAAGCGCTCTGAACCGGAAATCCGTCGGTGCCGTCGAGTCTGGAAGTGGCCATGAGGCCCAAGGGTACCTTTGCGCCTTCTGCGCGTTTGCCATCGACGTAGCTGCGAAGCTCGAGCTCTGCCTCGAGCACGGCGTCCTTTGCCAAGAGGTTGTTGCTGAGGACTTTGAGCATGCCATCCGACTTGATGCGGTCGGTCGCTAGACTTTTGGCGGAAGCGAGGATGAGGAGGAGCAATTCGTCGAGCAAGCCATTGAGGACGAGAAGCGTCTCTGCTTGGATGCGGGTGGGACGATCCTCGGAGATGATGGTGTTTGCGGCTCGAGCGCTGACAAAGGACGGAACATCGCGCAAGACGGCGGCGCCGTTTTCTAAGGATGCCGGCATGCTTGAGGCACTTTGCCCGATGCGGTGGCGGCCGGATGCTCCGTACGGATGCTGGTTGGATTTGCTGGTGGTGCGGAAATGCCTCTGTCTAAGTCACCAGTGCGAAAGGCAACTGGCTGGTGCTAAGAGGTGTGTCGTCAGAGGGCGGTGGATGCCTGTGATGAGTATGCGATGGCGAAAGGAAATCAAGGCAGTGGTGCGAGCCAATCAAGGCGCCATCTTCGGGTAACGAGCGACAAAGAGGATGGAGGCGAATGATGCGGGTGACCGATTGAAAAGGAGATTCGCGGGTGAGAGGGATGAGATGAAGAGCGGAGGCGGATTTGGATGCAGGGCTTTCGTAGCTTGCACAGCGACCGACGCCCAAGTGCAGGTAGCTTAATGAAGGATGGGTGGCAGCTCAAGACGCCGACCGGCAGCAGTGACGTGGTGCCAACCAAAATGCCGTGCAGGGGCGCCCGATGAAATGGGAGCCGTAAACGATGCACTTCCTCTCGAGACTGAGCGCGCAAGGAGGTTGCAATGGAGATGGAGGGCGGTGTCGCCGCGCGTCGTGGTCGTTGAAAGATGTCGATGAAAACGAAGGTAGGGAGGGGGATGGTGGTTGGGGGACAAGGCCGTTGCACACGCTCAAAGGGAGTGCGAGAGGCGACGACAAAGGGGGTTGGAAGAGCGGGCGGGCGGTCGTGCGGTTCCTTGCGATTGATGGGAGGGTGTCGAGTGGCTCCCTGCTACTGTGTTGTGGACGGGTGAAGCGATGGAGAGGTGCGGTGGGTTTCGGAGATGGCCAACCGACAAGAGGCATGAGCGTGTGTGGTGGCAGCGGCGGTTGGAGCGTGTTGCGTGCATGCGTGTGGCCAGGCGTGGATCAACAAGAGAAGAGCGTTTGGATCTGCGCTCTGAGCCACTGCTCTCTGCGCAGGTGCCCTGAGCGCAAGCAACCCTGAATTGGGCGCTGCGGGCGGCAAAGTGGCACGAGCACGCGCCGGCCAAGTGGCACGATTAGAGTGTGACTAGAGCCGCCCTGTCGAGTGAGGGGGTGTGGGCGTCGCTCGCGTCTGCCGAGACGGAGACCCGCCAGCCGCCCTGAAGAGAGAGAGGGAGAAAAAAAAAAAA